TTACTACAATATAATGTTTGAATATTGCAGTAATACCAGAAATCAGCCATCCATGCCCACCTGAGATAGGATCTGTGCAGAGATGCAGTAAGTTATACACCCTGCAAAGCCCTTTTCTCACGTCCCTGTGCTGGTTTGGCCCAGGATGATCATTAGCAGCTTCAAAATGTGGAGGCTGTAAGAAAATCCAAGAGCATACACTCGGCAAGTGATGCCAGAAGCCCAGTGCCATCCCAGACCCTGAGCCAAAGCCCCAAAACTCCTGTCAGAGCATTTGGTGGTCCTTGTGCCCAGCACAAGGCTGGAGGGAGCCCTGGAGCCCAGGCAGTGCCCAAGGCAGGGACAGCAAGGGCAGGAGGCTCAGGGCTGTTTCCAGTTGGGTTCTGAATAAAAATGCTCTGGGAAACCTGTTCCAGTGTTTAGTCACCCTTACAGTAAAGTAGATTTTCTCATGTTTAAATGAAATTTCCTGTGTTTCATTCTGGGCCCTTTGTCCCTTTTCCTGTCACTGGGCATAGCTGAGAAGAGGCTTCTCCAGCCTGAGCAATCCCAGCTCCATCAGCCTCTCCCAGAAGGGCAGATGCTCCAACCAAGACAGTGAAATTACAGCAATTCTTTCCTCAAATTCCAGTATATCACATTATAGGATCTGAAGTGATTTCACCATCCACAGAGATTAACAGATCTATATTTGCCTCCCACTGAACATATGGATTTGAACTACTCTAGCTCCTCTGTCAGCAAAATGGCTATTTTTAATGGAGGCAATAGGAAATATTATTAAATAATGAAAAGGAAACGTTGCACTGCAACTCCATGAAAATGGCATTGGGATTTTCTACCTTTATCTGGTACTTATCAACTTGAGGGCTCTGTTGAAAAGCAAAGTGATGTCTTTCATAGCGTTCAAATGCATCCTGTGATCTAAAAGCCAAATAATTTTCATCCATGTCAACACTGGCAATGAATATCCTGCTTAGCCAAAATATTACATTAATGACACCTAAGCTGGTGCTCTGACTTCAGAGAGGTCTTAAGCAACACTTCACAAACACAGGGATGTGAAATCTCCAGACTCACCTGTGCAAACCCATGGAAACTGGGGTTGCATCATGAAAAAATAAGATTGCAAATAAAGTTACCTTCTTGTTCCACACCTCTACTCAGCTGAACTCACAGAGTTTAATATATTAACTTTTTTTGTTTATGCCTGAATACTCTTCATGGTAACAAACCTAAGGGGCAATGAGAGGAATCCTTTTCCTTGTTGTGCATTGCTCCCACTGACAAACATCTTTCCTGTAGTGCAAATCGCCTGATAACTAAAACCAGAGCTCAGCTCTGCTGGAGATATTTTATGTGACCCAGAGAACCCAGCTCTGCATGGCCAGCACTCCAGCACTGGCACCAGGAACCACTTTTCCCCAAAAAATATTTCTTTCTACTTCTGAATGCCAGCAGCAAGAACCTGTGAAAAATGACCAGATGCTGCTTTTACCTTTTGACTTTTCAGGGTGGAAGCTCATTTTAAGCAACCTTGTTCAGTGGCACCATCTGAGAATTTTGGCAGTGTGGTGGAAGGAGATGAGCAGAGAGATCTCCAAAGCCTCCCTTGGAATTACATCCAGTAACTTCCATTTCCTCCATGAGGCTGAACCAGCCCTGTGACCACTTTGGGTCAGTGCGGCCCATTTCAGTTTGAAAATACTTATTTGCAAAATCCATGTCTCACAAACAACCAAACAAATAAACAAACTACCAGGAGTAAATTTACTTAGCAGGATGGTTCATGGCAAAAATAGATGTCTAAAGTTGCCAGCAAGATGCTAAAAGTGAACATTCTGTAGGGACAGCATTAAAGCAAGCCCAAGTGAGTATGAGAAATCAGAGTAACACACAGATTTTCTTACAGAGCCAATTCAGAGCCTGACATTTCCGCCCACACAGCACAGCTCAGTGACAGGCAATAAGACACAGCAGCAATATGAGCAACAGGAGACTCCAGAGGAATAAACAATATATTTCTTCTGTCAACAAAAATATATTCCTCTCTTTATTCCTTTCATAAGTCTCCCACAATTATTAATGCTCTGGGTTTGTGGGTTTGTGGGGCAGAGGGTGGTGTCTGTGAGAAGCTGCTGGAAGCTTCCCCCATGTCCCACAGAGCGGGTCCAAGGGGGTAACACCTCTGGAAAACAGATTTAAGAATGGGGGTAGAACTGCACAGCTGCAGGCAGGAGAGAGGAGTGAGAATGTGTGAGAGGAACAGCTCTGCAGACACCCAGGCTGAGGGGAAGGAGGTACTCCAGGTACCAAAGCTGAGATTCCCCTGAAGCCCAAGGTGAAGCCCAAGTGAAGCTGAGCCCAGGAAGAAAGGAGGGTAACAGGGCTTGGGTATAAACATTTCATTTCACTGCAGCTTGTAAACAAAACATCAGTCACAGCACAGTGCAGCCTCTCCCCACTTCAAGCCTGAACACATAAATTAACTTCTTTTCAATGTTAATGAATATTATTCTACTCACTTGCTCCTTGATCTATGAAACACTTATTGTCTCACTTCATAAAATACATTTCCTGCACACCAAGCATTTTTCTCTATAACGTTCCTGCTCATTAATATAAGGAACAATATTTTATCTGGTTTCATATATTGAAAACCTGGGACCAGGCTTTCAATGACAGCGCTGGAAAATGTGTGAACAGGAAGTAGGGGTTACTAAGAAGAGAAACTACAAAACTTAAAGGTACTGAGTGAGGACAAATTTTCAGGAAGTCACAATAGTCATGATAGGGCAATCCTAGAAGTAACATCATCCACCTCAGACTGTTCTACCGAAAGATTGTGTTTGTTTCTCAAACTTTCACCTGAGTTCATTAGTCCAATACAGCAGTGGAAATCAGTACAGTGCTCTTCTCCTTGGGAGATCACAGACAACTTAGCACCATACTCAGCACTTTTTACCCTTTCTGTAGCTGAAAAAATTTAAATACAAGGAGGTTTAAAAAGTGACCATGTAAGTTCTGAGCTGGGTTTAACTACTTGTAGTCACTGCTGTGAGGAGTTCATCCATTCCACAGAGTTCCACCAGCACCACTGACTTCCTGTCACACACAGCAGGAGCCAGAAAACAATCATACAGCAGAACCGGGGAAAAAACTAAAAGCCACGATAGTTTATTATTAATTCAAAATACAGGAGATTACAAAGATTCTGGAAGACAGGGAAGATTTGTCAGTGCCATCCTGAGCCTTCCTGCACAGCTCTTTCAATCTGCCTCTGTTCCTCCTCAAACAGGACTGCCAGGAGTGCAATAAATCTCACACATTCCCAGCACGGAGGGATCCTGCCGTGACCCCTGGGAGATGACACAGATCAGAGTTTTTCACAGCCCAGCCCAGCCCAGCAACATCCACAGCTCAGCTGAGTGCCTTGGGTGAGCTGCAAATGTGGAGTCCAAATTTAGAGAAAGAAGAAGAGATGCTCTTTTAATCTGCTCCACATATTTTCAGCACAAGAGACAGATAAAATAGGTGCCACAGTCACTGGGACGTCAAAGCACTCAGCATCTTCCAGGAGGTGATTACCTCCCTGGATCAAGGCATATTCCTTTTGCCCTTAGGGGCCTCCATAACTTTCCCCCAATAAATGAAACTACAGCTACCCACATTAATTTTCCCTAGGCCGAATCTTTCAAATGTGAATTTTTCTGCCTCAGATCAGAGGGTCCTGATGCCATCACTAACGAGTGAGAAACTTCCAGTGAATATTTATTAAAAATCCACTGTGGCTTAATATACTTCAATAAAATTTGCTCTTTTCCTCCTAAAGTAAAATTCCTCTTAAACCATAGGTTCTTCTGCTGCTTCAGCTTGCTGGAAAGCCTATGATGCTAAACCCATCCATGGCTGCTTTGGCTTTTATGCAAATTCTAACCATCAGAGTTATATAAGTGCTTATGCTCTTTTTTCAGCAGTTTACCTGCTCTGATGACCCTTGTTCCCAACTGTACCTTTGAAATCTGGTCATTACAGCAGAAAGCCAGACTTCATTACCCAAAAAGTCAAAAACTGATCTTGAATCAGCAGTTTTTCCCCACTGCAACAGCTGCTCTGGCCTAAAGTGATTTGAAAAATGTAAGAGCCTTTCAAAGTACTGCCAGATGAAAGTTCTTGATTAGTAGATCCCAACCAATTCATTATCTCATCATCACCACACAGACCCTTTAGACTGTAGGAGGTACATAGCGATGATTTAAGGCCATACTTATCTTTTATAATTTCTTTTAAAACAGCCCCACAGACAGAGGTCTGTATTTATCCAAAGAATCACATTAAATGTGTTGGCTAAACTTCAGGTAGAGATTTAGGTTAATGCATCTCATCTATCCTGTTAAAGTAGCAATTATGCATCTGGAAGAAAAGTGTTTCCAGGGCCCCTGAAGTCCGTGCCAGTAAAGCACCAACTGCAGCTGCAATTTACAAGAAAAGTTAGAGCAACAATTCTGCAATTTATAAACCAAAATTATAAACTAAATATTCCCAAAGCAAACATTTCATCGATAAAACTGTGGGGAAAGGGAGATAATCTCATTTAGTAAAAAAACCCCTTCAAACCACCCCCCTCCCCCAATCCCATGTGTGATTCTAAATATGTGTTTTGAAAATACCAAAGAACTATGACATTTTTATTCTGCCAGAAAAATTATCACATCTTGATTGGATACTTTGCCTTCTCATTTCCTTTTCCAAGCTGAAATGTCAACTATTTAAAGTCAAATCCAAATATTACCCAACCACAAACCAGAAGAGACCCTTGATGCTGCAGCTGTCCCTGAAAAGGTGCATTCCAGTTCCACACTTGCAGTTTTACCATGAAGAAAACAGAGATGAAACCTTTCCAAGTGCTTTGCTGCCTAATGACACAATCACCAGCGTGTTATTAAAGCTCAGCACTCTGACACTGCAGTCATTATATCTGCAAACACCAAGACATTATGGCAGGAGGAAACAATCCTTTTATTGAAAGCAAGGAGGTCTCAATGTGACAGGTGAATGTTATACTCCCGAGATGAACCCCATATACATAACTATTTTTATGCAGTTTCCATGTTCCATTTACACAATTTGCTGGCTTAAAAGGCTTTAACAGTCAATCAAGGGTTCAAGTATTAAGCTGCATAACAGAAGAAAATTATATTGTGTTATTGAAGTCAGGTAGATAAACAACATCTCCTGATTGTGATGGTACCATTATGTGCCTCAGGATGAATAAAGAGAGAAAACATTCACCTGGTTTCATATTCCAAATACTTGCTAAGATTCATGTATAAATAGATGAAAGAACAGAGAGGGATATTGTGTAATATTTTAATATCATAAAGTCAAATTTATGCAAACCAGGAAAAAAGAAAAGTGGAGTTTATGTCTTGTGCGGAGTTCTGCCTTACTGAATTTGTGTTTATTATTCTGACAAGCTACAAAAATAAAATATATAAATACAGAGACAACAGTAAATGTGTATCTCTTCTTTTGCAAGAAAACTGTCACAATATTATGCTCATTAAAAAGCTTTCTAAAACTAATAGCTCAGTGAAACTTAATGGCTTGAGATAAATATCTTGCAACAGAGCTGTTTAAGCCACTGTAAAAACAAACCTCTTAAACAGCAGAAGCACAAACACCAAGCAAACAACAGAGAACCTGTGTTCCCTGAAGTCACTTTGCAATCTTGTACTGACTCCAGGAAGAACTAGATCAAAATAAAAGCTTTCACTTTGTTTATATTTCCTCTGGGGCTGAATCTTCTTTTATTTCCTTGCTACACCCAGCCAAAGATGGACTCATCCTACAGAAAAAAAAAAAAGTGATAAAAGTGAATTGGTACATTCACATTAATAATATTTTTTTAAGTCTCTATAATCAAGTAGGACAAATGAGGACGCTTCAGATTCTTCAGATTGTACTTTAGACCACCAGGGAAGGATTTAGCTCAAGAAGAAAGCAAAAAACCTCCCTTTGCCTTGGCAAAGCTCAGAGCCCTCCCTGTGAGGATGGAGCTGCTCTGGCCCCAAATCTGAAATCTTAAAAATATTTGAGCTCAATGTCAGTAATACTTTAGAACATAACAGGCACTTACTATAATAACATAAAATAAGATCAGTGCAAGTTTTGAATACTATTAATTTGCTTATTTTAAGGTTTTTTTGGCCTTTAATGGATTGCCTACATACCGTGTCCAGGTATGCTCCATTCTGTGACCTCTGGATCCTGCCAGAGCCTGCAGAACATCAGGTGGAGGAAAATCATCATCTGCAGTCACATGGAATCTAATCTTAATTGCAACATTCCAAGGAGTATATAGGTAGCATTAAAATTCAAGTAGACTTTTGTTCTCTCAAAAAAAAAAAAAAACAACCTATTTATAGAGGCAATAAAATGCAGCATTAATTTTCTAGATTTATTAATCTAGGGAAAAAAAGAAGATAAAAATGAACAGTTTATTCAGACTTGTTGATCCCTATCTAAATAGCTTCTAGAATTTTCAATTTGCTTCTTGATTAATGAAAAGTTCAGATCAATAGGAGACTTATCTCCTAGATTTGATGTTGTGCAAAATCTGCTAATTAGAAAGAAGGCATCAGAATTTATGTTTTTCATTGAAATAGGACTTAACAGGAGATTCTCAGTTAAAGCTCCTGAGAAAGGGGGTAAAATTACAACTAAGGATAGAGTAAGAGGGGAGGAGGAAGGATTGGTTGGTTGGTGAGGTTTTTCAAGTCACTGGAAATTAAATATAAAGAAAATGCTCTTTCTCTGAAAGAAATGAGTGGCTGAAAAGGGGACAGACCATGTCCATAAGTCCAAGATTAAACAGCACATGGTGATCCATAACAAACAGAAAAGCAGCCATTAGGGTAAGATGGCAAATCCACCCAGGAAATTATATAAAAGCAGAATTTGTTTTTGGTTTTTTTTTTTTTTCTTACAAAAACTTGAAATCTAATTATCTATTAAAGATTTCCCCTCCTTTTTTTTCTCAATACTTGTTCTTTTTTTTCTTGAAATCAAACAGACAAATCCAAGAAGATTTTTTTTTTTTAAATTCACTGTCCTAAACATCCATGGATGTGTGTGTTTTACACATAGATATACGTCCAACATATACATTCATAGCTTCGCACAAACACTTCTGCAATGATCTCAGCTGTGGGAGAAAGCACATGGAACAGATTCCCTGGGAGGATAGATTTATTAGACTGGAACTTCTTAGCACAGAAATATGTAAGAGGCCAATGGAACTTTGAATATGAATATGAATAGCACATGATGAATAGTGAATATCATGTCATAATTCCAGAAGTAATCAGGAACTGGATTTAAAGCCAACAGAAGAAATGTTTTTGCACCCAATGCAGAATATTTGCACAATAATTGCAGAAGAAATTGTTGAAGCAAATTTCAGTGGAATTTCTTCTCCTATTCAGTAACATCCACTGGGGTAGAGATTTCTGTTCTGAACCAGAACTTCTTTTGTTCTCATGAAGATTTTTGAGGGTGTGTTTTCTTGCCATGTGTGTGGAAATCTAATTCAACATTTTACCAAATAAGACACTGCCTGGAATGGTCCTACATTTTGGGATACACCCCAACATGCACCCATGTGGAAAACTTCCATCGGCACCAATGCAAGGGAAAAAAAAGTGCTGTGACTGAAAGTGGCATTTTAAACTTGCCTGGTAGCTCTTTATGGATTACTATATTCTTTTTCCTAATAATTCATCCAACTGTGAGGCCAGAAATTCGAATTCCATTTGTAAGCATACACTGTATTATCTTAAATTGTGCAGCAGCTACAATGTCTCTAATTGAAATTGGCTGAATGCAGAGCACCAGTTTTAATTCCCAAGTCATTTTCCAATAATGAAAGAGCTGCATTCAGGGCACAGAGCGAGAACATGTTCGATGGTTTTGTTAAATTGTGTTACAGCAACCTTTGGGGAGCATCTAATTTATTTATTGTATGTATGAAATCAACCACTATTTTCTTACGTGAAAAAATAAATTATTATTCATGCAACTACTGCCTTGGGCCCATCTGTGAATAAGTTTAATTACGTATTTCACATGTTCAGAAAAACTTGCAGATGTTTGATGTGCATGTCTTTAATGTCAGGCTGCAGCAAACACTTCCACCATCCTTCCTCCAAATTAACACATACAAGACCCTCCATGAAACAAAAGAGCTTTTCCAAAAAAGCTGGAAGTGCCTAAAGCATGGAATGAATTCCATTTGTGAGCTGTAAAACCTACTACTCAAAAAACCCCCAGCTGAATGGACCTTAAACCTTGGGATCTTCACTTGTATTAATAATTTGTTTTCTCTAGTAAAATAAAATATTAGCAATTCATTTCCTACCTCCTCCATCAAACTGGCTGCAGATCAACAGTCGACTTCTGAGCCTTTCATTTTCCTCAAGCATTTTTGAAATCACTTTCCAGACCTTGTGCCAGACTTTGGACTGAAAGATAAAATGTGAAGCATATAAAAAGTTTGCATTAAAACTTCTATAGGGCAGGACTTTGAATTCCCCACAATGACTATGAAGTCCAGCTAGGTTTTTCTGTTGAGAACTGGGGAAGAAGGGAAAAGGGCATGTGGGATATATGGAGGAATCACCTCTATTTAAAAGTCAGAAACATAAATTCCTCCATGATTTTTCACATGAAATCTCCACTTCCTTTCTTGCCTAGAATTCTTGTGTATTTCCAGTACTTGAGAACTGCCCTTCTAGATAAGCAAAGCTCATGAAAATGTATGTAGAGCCATTAAGCTCTCTTCAAAGTCATCCAAAATGGGGAGGAAAAAAAAGATTGTGTAGTTTTCCAGGAGCAAAATGTTTCCCATGTGGTCCCTCAGCAGCAGCAAAACTCAGGCCCACAAACTCAGATTCCACAATAGCAACGCTCTTGCCTATCTCATATCAAATCCGTATTATTTTGTTTTATAGATGTTGAAAACCTTTATTTTAGAGGCATAAAGCTCTGTCCATAGTGGGCACATTTCAAACTTGTGCACTGAAAAGATTAAATTGGAATTGTGGACAAAAGCATTCAGGCAGAGGTGGCCTAACAAATAGAAATGGCTGTTGACACATTGATGTTTGGACTTTTGTTGGACATCATCTGAGAAACTTGTTTAAATCTAAAGATAATTCCTTTCTGGAGGACTTTTTTTGCTAAAACATTCTATATATTCCTCATTGGTTTTGAAGACTATTCAATGCACCAAAGAGCCATATTCCAGGATGTTATTAGATGTTCTTCTGCAGTTGGTAGCATTTTGCTGGTTTTAAATCAAGTATCTATGACACGGCTCTGTTCTATTCCAGCTGATTACTTGTACTTCACACATTACAGAATCTCATAATGAGTTACTGCTTAACAAATGTTCCTCTTAAAATTTCAACCATTTGTCGAACTACTGAACAGGAACAGAAACACATTTGTGAAGCAGAAAGTAATTCTACATTGCTCCAAGGATGGTGTTAATAGCTCAGGTTCCTGCCTTTGCTTATTTGTAACCTGTGGGATTTCTTTGTTTAAAACATGAGAGGAAGAGGAGCTGCAGAGCTTTTTCCTGCTGGGTTTCACCCCAAGGTGTGCTGCACCCTGGCCCCAATCCAGCAAAGCATTTCAGTACAGGCTTTTTAAGTCAACAGCATATTCTCATTTTTCAAGGTAAGCACACACTTAAGTGCTTTATTGAATAAGAGCCAGAATTTTAAAGCCTCCAGAGAGGGAAGATAATACCATTTTTTTTTTTTTCTGTAAGTAAGGTTTTCAGTAACAGGCTACCAATTCCATCATTTAATCTCCCTCACGCTCTCACACACAGAGAACAAGCAGCTTTCTCAAATGCCAAGGCAGCTAATTGAGCTGCCACACTTTATACCTTTTTCTTCTCTCGTTTAATGGCTTTATCAACGTTTCTTGAAGGGATGGGAAAGTCAAAGATGTCAGTCTTAGCCTCTCGAGGGTCACCTAGAAAGAGTTGAGAAAGCGTTTTTTGAGTATTATTCCTAAGGAAGATGTTGATCACTGGCACAGGCTGTCCAGAGAAGCTGTGGCTGCCCCATGGAGTGGGATGGAGCTCTGAACAGCCTGGTCTAGTGGAAGGTGTCCCTAGGAAGGGGGTGGACTGGATAATCTTTAAGGTCCCTCCCAGTCCAAACCACTCTATGATTCCAGAGGAATCCTTATTTCTGATCACCTTACAGGGTACCAATCCTTACATCCTGCAGCTTGTTCCGTTCTTCTTTACTCCGTTATAACCATGGGGCAAGTGAGCATCTCTCAAACACCACAAAACAGATTTCAAAACTACACAGCACCCACAAGTTGCACAACAGCCTTCTGGGAGCTTTTAATTCCCATTTTTTCCCGAGAACTGGACACGGCAATCGAGGTGTGACCTCGCCATTGCCCAGAACAGGGGAAGAATCACCCCTCCACACCCTGGTTTTGCTGTTCCCATGTTGGAATCTGTGATATTGAGATGATTCCAAGATTGTACAAAGTCTCTGTCAGCCCTGCTACCAAAAAAGTTGCAATTTGTCTGTGCTGGTTTTCAAGGTTGTTTATTCTGTTTATCTCTAACATGTTCTGCTGCCCTGCCGCAGCTCTGTCCTGCAGGGCAGCGTGTGGGGCTCTGCCCTCAGTGGGATGGTACAAACATTAAATACCAGAAACTACCTGTGCTGGATTTACAATAACGTGCCAATATCTGTCACCTACGTTGGACAGTGTGTCCCCAGCCTGAACCAACAGAAAAATGCCAACACCACAGTGAAACATGGAGGGCATGAAGAAGGAGAAAAAGGACAAGGCACACCCAATTTCCTCCATCTTGTCCCCTTTGGACCCCTGATCTAGAATCCTAAAATTTTACTTTTGCACCCGTGCCACACTTAATTATTACTGATATCAAACACTCAGAGCTGGTAATTGATCCTGTAAGATTGAAAACTCTTTTCCATGGACAGAGATCACAGACAGTGTCTCTGGGGGCTCTGTACAGGGTGGTTCCTCACCCCTGCCAGGGTCCCAGACCTGCCAGGGCAGACAGAGGGAAGCCCTGGACTCCCACATTCCCGCTATTCCTGGTACAATTAAGACAACACCTGAGCCACCTCCAGCCCTCGGAGAACCCGACACAAGGGGCTGTCCTGGGGCTCACGTACCGCTGCTGGTGCCGCTGCCGCCTCTCCCCTCGCTCCCCGCTCGCCTCCCGCTGCCGCCCGGCCCGGGACCGCGCCCGGCCCGCGGCTCCTGGGCGGCTCTCGGGGCCGCAGCCCGGCCCGGGGGGCTCTGCCCGGGACTCTGCCGCCAGCCCGGGCCCAGGCGGATCACGGTGCCGCAGCGGTGCGAGCCGAAGCTGTTCACGTACACCAGCGGCACGGGCGGGCGGCCGCGGCGGCCGCGCCCCATCTGCGGCCGGGCCGCGGGCATGAGGGGAACCGCGGCTGGCAGCTGGGAGGGTAGCCGGGGATGGAGGCTTAGTGAGGAGAAACGAGGGTCGGTGAGGGGAACGAGGGATGAGGGGAACCAGGGACTGAAGGTAAGGGAGGGGAACCGGGGGATGAGGGGAGCCGCAGCTGAGGGGCGGCGAGGGGAGCGGGGGACAGAGGGGTCGCTGAGGGGAGCCGGGGCTGAGGGCGGTGAGGGGAATCAGGGCGGTGAGGGGAACCGGGGACTGAGAGGAGCTGGGCGGGGATAGCTCAGTGAAAGGAGCCCGGGCTGTGAGACCAGCCGGGACTGAGTGGGCAGCGAGGGGCTGGTGAGAGGAGCCGGGGACTGAGGGGAGCCGGGGCTGAGGGCGGTGAGGGGAACCGGGGACTGAGGGGCTGGATGTTCCCCCTGTCCCTGGGTCAGTGCTAGAGTTTAGCACACATTGCTGCTGCCTGAAGCCACGTATTGATACATTTCATGCAAGTTATTGACCTGTTTGCATTCATCCCTTACCCCAGTGGTAAAGGGACTCCAGGCAGAACGTTGTTTGATGTCTTATTTGTCTCTACAACAGGGGAACCCTGGCATCCCTCTGGATGCAGGTGCTGCTGCAGTGCCTGCACTGATACAAGGATTTATTCTCCAAGCAGTGTACCCGCTCCAGTCATGTGCTGAACAATAATGAAACATCAAATACCTGTTTGTCCTTCAGGCAGCACAGCAACAGATGTGTGACACTGACAGGATGCCTGGTGGGTCAGTCCAGCCCATGCAGGTGTCCCATTGCAACCATGGGTTTTGTTTGGTATGGACAGTGACAACTGACATTCTCAAACCACTGAAGAGCTCGAGTCATAGAATAGTTTGGTTTGGATTGGAAGAAACCTTAAACACCATCCAGTTCCATTCCCTGCCATGTGCAGGGACTTTTCCCATTATCCCAAGCTGCTGCAAGCCCCATCCATCCTGGCCTTGGACACTTCCAGGGATGAGGCAGCCACAGCTTCTCTGGGCACCCCGTGCCAGGGCCTCCGTACCCTCACAGGGAAGAATTTACGTCAAGTCCCACTGATGTTTTCTTTGTCACTAAAATACTGCTCCAGATTACTTCCCAGAGTTCAGTTTGCACAGGGTTGCAAATCACAAATAATAAATTCTATGAAAACACCTATTTTTCCTAATTGTTTCAGCAGCACTGGTGGCATGAATGGTGTTGCCCTCGGGAATAGATCCAAAGACACCACGAAGCAAACTGTGCTCATTCCCCAGGCTTTGAAGAGGCTGAGAGTCCCTGTGTGTGTTCAGAGAAGGGAATGGAGCTGGGGAAGGGCCTGGAGCAGCTGAGGGAGCTGGGAAAGGGGCTCAGCCTGGAGAAAAGGAGGCTCAGGGGGGCCCTTCTGGCTCTGCACAGCTCCTGACAGGAGGGGACAGCCAGGGGGACACCAGGATGAGAGGGAACAGCCTCAGGCTGTGCCAGGGCAGGCTCAGGGTGGGCATCAGCAGGAATTTCCCCATGGAAAGGGAGCTCAGGCACTGGAACTGCCCGGGGAGATTTGGATCCCTGTGGGAATCCAGGGCTTCCCTCTGGCTGCCCTGGCAGGTCTGGGACCCTGGCAGGGGTCAGGAACCCCCCTGGACAGAGCCCCCAGAGACACTGGCTGTGATCTCTGGCCATGGAAAAGAGTTTTCAATCTTACAGGATCAATTACCAGCTCTGAGTGTTTGATATCAGTAATAATTAAGTGTGGCACGGGTGCAAAAGTAAAATTTTAGGATTCTAGATTAGGGGTTCAGAGGGGACAAGATGGAGGAATTAGGTGTGTCTTGTCCTTTTTCTCCTTCTTCATGCCCTCCATGTTTCACTGTGGTGTTGGCATTTTTCTGTTGGTTCAGGCTGGGGACACACTGTTCAACGTAGATGATAGATATTGGCACGTTATTGTAAATATAGTACACGTAGTTTCTGGTATATAATGTTTGTAACATCCCACTGAGGGGCAGAGCCCCGCACGCTGCCCTGCAGGACAGAGCTGCGGCAGGGCAGCAGAACATGTTAGAGATAAGCAAGAATAAACAGCCTTGAAAACAGCACAGACGAATTATGGCTTCTGCTTTGGCAGCGGGGCTGACAGACAGAGACGTCTTTTCTACAATCTCGGGATCATCAATAGCACAGATTCCGACAGATCCCCATCCCTGGGGTGCCCCAGGAAGGGCTGGAGGTGGCACTGGGTGCTGTGGGCCGGGGCCAGGGCGGGATGTGGCACGGGCTGGATCGGCGGGCCCGGGGCTGTTCCCCCTCAGAGCCCCGCGCCGGGCCCGGCGGGCGCAGTGCGGGCGGGCCCCGCCAGGTGGCGGCAGCTCCCGCCGAACCGGCGCTGCCGGACCCGCCGCGCAGCCCCGCACCGCCGGCCCGGGACGCGCTGCCCGCAAAAGGCATCTCGCCTGTGCGAGGAAAAACAACTCGCAGAGGCACAGCCTGACAGAGTAATCTGTTGTTCCCCAGTAATTTGTTGTTGGACCCTGCAGGGTCCTAAGGGTGTGGACTGAAAAGGAGGTTGGGTGTGACACAACCACCGAGTCAGGAGCCTTGAGATCAATTGTGACTTCAAATATCAACTGTGACCTCCTATATTTGGGAAAGGTTCTTCCCCCAGAGGGTGCTGGCACTGCCCAGGCTCGCCAAGGAATGGGCACGGCCCGAGGCTGCCAGAGCTCCAGGAGGGTTTGGACAGCGCTCCAGGGATGCCCAGGCTGGGATTTTGGGAGTGTCTGTGCAGGGACAGGAGATCCCTGGGGTGATCCCTGTGGGTCCCTGCCAGCCATGATATTCTGTGATTCTACAATTCTCAATTCCACTCCTCCACAAACCCAGACTCCCTCCTCTGTTTAAACCTGCACTAACCAACTGTACCAGTGAGGCAACAGCCACTGAGTTCAGTTTGGGATATTAAACGCAAAAGCTTCATTAAAAATTGGGCCTGGCCTACAAGCGTCCCCCAGGTGCATCCACCCCAAAGCCCTGGTAAAGAAATCCCTTCTTCAGCTGCAATGCTGCCCACACCACAACCCCCCAGCGAATGCTCACACACAAACCTAAGAGCCCCGTGTTCATTCCATGACTGCCTCTGCGTTGTGCAGGAACACTCACTGCTGTATCTGCCAGGGCAGGAGCTGCCTGTGCCAGCTGGCAGCTGCTTCCTTCCTCCAGCCTCCTCGGGGCACCACGGCTGCCAAGGCAGCGGTTTCTCAGCACCTGTACTCATAGAAATGCTTCCACCCTGCTAATGCAAACACACAGACCTCGTGGGGCACATTTTGTCCACTTTTCCCAACAGCACATTGCCAGCGCTTTGATCTCAAATGCAAATTCAGCTCAGATCCTTTTTAGGATCTGCTGCTACTCAGAAAAATCAGTGCCACCTAAAATCTCTCTGCAGATCTGTCAAGTTCAGCTATTTTAGCTGCACACTGCTCTTCACCCACCTTTCCACATGTGTGAACTGACTACCAGCTGGCCACTATCTCTGTATTAATCACCCTGAGGAAACATCTCAGCTTTTTAGCACAGCTGCAACTGTCTGGTTAAAAATAGCCCAGATTCCAGCTTTCAGCCTGCACCTCATTGTGTGGTTGCTGTGTGCTCCAATGGCAGCTCCTCCATCTCATAGTTCCTGAATTCCATTGTTTCAGTTTTGCTTTGGCCAAGGATGTGTCCTTTTAAAATGAGGCAGTTTTTGGTGCCTACAGCTTGTGCCAAGGAGAAGGAAGAAGGGGTCACTGGGACTTTGCTGCATGCATGGTCAGTGATTCCCTGAAAAAACCCATCCTTCTGCTGCTGGGGGAGATTTGGGGTTCTCTGAACATTCTTTGCAGTGCAAAGTACTCACACGATTCCACAGAATTCATGGAATCACAGAATGGCTTGGGTGAGACCTTCGAAGATCACCTCATTCTGGCCCTGCCACAGGCAGGGACACCTTCCACTGTCCCAGGCTGCTCCAAGCCCATCCAGCCCGGCCTTGGGCACTGCCAGGGATCCAGGAGCAGTCACAGCTTCTCTGGGCATCTGTGCCAGGGCCTGCCCACCCTCACAGGGAGAAATTTCTTCCATACATCTCACCTAGACTTCCCCTAAAATTCAACACAACTCAGACAAGGCCATTGCTCATTAGGTGTAACATTACCTTGATCAACTGTAAAGGGTGAAAACATCTGAAGTAGGACTCTGACACTGAACAGGGAAAAGTGTGCTCATTCTGACAACAGCTACACTCAAACCTTGTTAATTATACCCTCAGCAGTAGCACAAACAATTATTCTATCACCTACATTTTCACAGAATATTTAATAAGTCACTGGAGTGAGGGATTTCATTAGTATGTGGTTACTGCACAAAAGACACTGGGGACCATTTATTAGTGTAACCAGGAATCATTATAAAAACAAAAGCCACAACTTCTGCTAAGTCAAAGCAATGAATTTGCCTTCAGCTTCTTCTTACTTTTTTCATCATTTAGCCTGGCTCTCAGTTAATTGTGTGAGCAGTTATGGGGCAGCAGAGAGAGAAAATGGAACAGCACCGGCATTTCACAGCAGTGAACCTGCACAGCTCCCACTGCTTTACAAACCACACACATGGGAATCCCTTCCTCCACTCATAAGGAGAAGCCAGTTCTCCCATCTCTTCATGCTGTGCATAAAAATATTTAGCAGACTATAAACTGTGTTACATAAAAGCCTGAGCCTCCCCTGGAGAGATTTCCAAATCTCTGAGAACATCCATAGGCTTTACAACAAAACCCAAGTCAAGGAGATCAAAACCCCTGGCTTAGCAGAACTTTGTGTTACAGCATTTCAACAGATTGCCAATTGGAAATAAAACTATGGGGAAAACTCAGGGAGACAAAATGAGGCCTAAGATTACACCAGAATGACACAGCCTCATTTCTAGGAAAGGCTGGTAGTCAAGTGGAAGCAGAAGGCAGGTGAGGACTTCACTTCCTCTGATTTAATTTTCCAAATGAAAAATGAACTAAATGTGCAAGCATCAGTATTTGTTTCCAAATCAGAGACGGGAAAACTTTACCAAGTTTTAGGCTGCAGAGACTGTGATATTGAAGATTAAAAGTCTCCATTC